CATTATTCTTATAATCCTAGTAGCCTAGATTTGTGACTAGTAGTAATGATGGTGAGTAATACCTAATATAGATTAACTGAAAGAACCTGACGAAGAACTATTATACAACAAAAATATTATTGTCATGACTGCAGCTGCTCCATCTTCACTAGACTTAACTCAACCATAATTCACCATATACGCATTCAATTTAGTGGAGACTTACAAGTAAGACCAAAACAAGCCAAAACAATTGCAATTCAATGTTGCATATGGCATCTTCGCGAACCATATTATGACATTGTTATTAATGCTATGAAATACTTACTAGGGAAGGTCCCCAACTGTCCAATCGCTTTTGAGTTCGGACTCTGTGCATAAGGTAGACCCCAGTGAGTTATGAAAAACCCCAAAAGATTAAATTCCCTTAGACCTTCTGTCCAAAGTTATAGGCATTTTACTGGAATTTTAGCCTATGGCATGGTATATACGAATAAATCGAATGATGGTATTTCAACCTGAGATTTTGCCCACAGACAGATCTATTTATGAGTAGAATACCCTGAAAATTTCAGCGCAAAAGAACGTTTCCCTCCCGAGATATTAAAGTCTCAAACATCACTCAGATGCCCCAACAGATATTAGTATNATGTTAGTATTTCCTGATTTTTTGGACTGAAATATCTCGGGAAGAAAACGTTCTTTTGAGCTGAAATTTTCAGAGCATTCTATCCATAAATAGATCTGTCTATGGGCAAAATCTCAGATCGAAATACTGTCATTCGATTTTTTTATATACCATGCCAGAGGCTAAAATTCCAGTAAAATGCCTATAGCTTCGGACAGAAGGTCTAAGAGGATTTAAAATTTTGGGATTTTTCACACCTGACTAGGATCTATTTTATGCACAAACTCCGAACTCAAAAGGGATTTGGCAGTTGAAAATATTCCCTCGTGAGTAGGTTAACAGTCAAGGCTTTCAGGGCTTCTAGTACATGAGGTCTAACTTCTCATCGGAAAGTCAGAAAAAAGTTGGGTTTATTTTGTTCGATAAAGGGATGGTAGGGCTATCAACTGGTATCCTCAAGATCAAAAATGTAATGAAAATTTTGAAGGTCACAGTCTTCCAAAAATCTCGATCTCTATAAGACCAAGAGGACTCAAAGGGCGGAGTTGAGAGGAGAGGTATCGATGCCCCCAAGACTCCTCTTTCTAATAGTAAAAATCGCAGGTCTCTATCTTATTCCTATCAAAAGTTATTCAATTTACAGCCAGGTCTTTTTTATTTTGGAACGGATAGCAGATAATTTTTTCTTTTGCTGCTTCTATGATGCTTACGAATTTTCAAAATTTTTCATTTATATTCAAACTTGAACGAGGCAACTAGTTAGTTCAGACTATAGCAATGAGTAACAAACGCTTGTGTGTATAGTTATATAGTGAAGAAAAAAATTGGCATCAACAATTTACAAAACCTTTCATGTATCAAATCGAATATCTTCAATGTTTTTGTTTCGCAAAAATAACGAAAACAATCGTTTTGAAAAATAGTATATCTCAATATAAAACAGAACTAATCGTTTTTTGTCAATCTTGAAAAAGAGATGATTATATTTATCTCTTTTTCCTTTGTTATAGTATAGCATAGATAAAAAATATACAATTTTATCAAACTATTTTCTTTTATTGAAACAATTTATAACACAGAAAAATATTGATGAAATTTTTCTGAAGGAAATGATTGATCTAGATCAAGATCTTTGACTCTACTAAAGTTAAAATATGTTCTATCAATGGTAAAATTGTTTGTTATCATTATCAGTGATTCATATTTGATGTAAAGATTAAATAAATAAGGTAGATAAGTTATTTTCTTCAAGAGAAATTGTTCAGCATAATCTACATGTGCCAATTTTAAATTAAGAAGTTTAAGATGAGGAAACGTAATTAGTTCAGTAGATGAATTTTGTTTGTCTTTTTGTGGTTGACCATTACGTATATGTAATATTTCGATAAAAGGTATATCATGAGAGATAAGTTGAAAGAATTTATATTCAAAAGGAAATATATCACTAATTACCAAATATCGAACTGTATGAAACATTCCTCCTGGAAAAGAATTATTTATTTCAAGTAAATATTCGAATTGATATGGAAGTGAATAAATATGACATTTTGATTTGATCATATTCGAATTAATATTGATATATGAACCAATTTGTTTATATATTTCTTTTCCAATAAAACTGCGTTGAATATCTTCATTTGATGAAAGATTAATATTAGTGTTACATGAGTAGACAAGTGTTTGAATGTTAAATGTAAATTTATTTAATTTATTCATATGACAAAGAAGTTCATTATATAATTGAATACCATCAATATAATTTAAATCAAATACTTTTATTAATAAATATAATTTTAATTCTTCAAGATTTATCATTTGACGAATAAATGGAAAAATTAGAGTAACATGTTGATCTGTGTATTCAGGTGAAATCAATGACAAATATTTTAATTTGGGAAGCTTTTTCTAGAAAGAATATTAATATTGAAAATATCTTGAGGATTTATTTATAAAAAAGATGATCAAAATCGAATACATACTGTATTATCCATCCGTCGTACCGGATAATAAATCAATTGAACATGAACAATTAATGTTGTTAAACATTCGAGATTTCCATTAAGAAGAAACAAACATTCAGTAAATGTTTCAAGATTAATTTTTAATTTAGTTAAAGTTGAAGACATTAAACTTGTTTCTGTTAAACGAGAAAGACTATTCCAATGTTTTCGTTCAAAAAATAAATCACAAAAATTTAAATCAATTAATTTTTTACATAAAGATAAAATTAGTACAAAAATTTTTGATGTAATTTTAATCGATTCTGTATTTGCATTCTTTATATCAATATTAAGATGTGTTATTTGTTTACTAAGAAAATCACGAAGAATATAATCATCCACAATTTAAAAGAAAAACAAACATAATTATTAACTTACATTTAACCAATATATTATTTTATTAATTAAATACTATACCTGTTAAATATTGATCAAGTATTTTTCCTTCAAAATTAATAAGTGATAATGAATACAGTTGAGGATAATTAGTAGCATGAAGAATACGTTTTATTGAATATTGTTCAATAGTAAGTGCATTTATTTGATCATAAATTCGACATAAGATTTGATCACATATTCTTGAAAGCATTTTATCATCTATTGAAAATGTCTGATCATATACTGATTCAAAAATTTTGATAGTCATATCAATATTACGGATAGTAAGAGGATCAAGTACTAATCGATCAAATCGTTGATTAACATCCACAAGTGAATATAGAACATCAACTATATTCATTTTATTAAAAATAATAAGTAAACTTTCATCAGGTAAATTGAGTATATTCAAGCATTTGTTCATCTTTAACTCATACAATGTATTTATGTCAATCTATATATATATTTGCCTTTCCTCCTTCCCGCCTATATAAGAACAATGAAGGGTCAACGAATATTGATGCCGTCATGTTACTTTACAATCAATAGACGATGGCATTTTTCTTTCTATCTAATATTTTTCGTTATAATTTCTTAGGCCCCAAACAGACTGAAAATTTTAATTCCCGTCGAAGATGAATTAAGCAATGTCATTGGTTAATTCAGAGTGAAGTCACCCTTTTTTAGATGATTTTTTAGACGATTTAACTCTGAATTAACCAATGACATTCCTTAATTCGACTTTGACTTAATTCACTTTTTCAGCCTATTTGAGGCCTTAGTCGGTCTGATTCGGACCTAAAGCTACAAATATGCCGACTAATTTACTTTAAATTGAGAAATATCATTGATGCATTCAAATGGCAATGGCGATTACATAGGTTAATTCAGTTTTTTTTGTCTGATTGAGGTCTTACAGCGATCAATTGCTCATGTCATTCTGCCTTTGGCTTAGATATATGAGTTTTGATAAGAATCCATGAGAAAGAGATAACTTTTTGTTCAAAAAAATTTGTAAAGAAATATTAGTGTTGAGTTCATTTAAAATGTGAAAAGTTTAGTGTTATGACACTTTGACATTTCTTTGTCGAAAAATTATGATTCTCAAATTTATCGAAATATGAAAATGCTGTTGTTACTATTTTGAAATGCCTTAAATATTTTCTACAAATTCCTGTTTTTGTCAGCTGAAATACGATAGCTTAAACAGTGGCGTAGCCAGAAGTTTTTGAGTTATGGGCCGTTTTCTAGCTAAAATATTTTGAGAAGTGGGTACCCATAGGCAATTAAAAACCAATTGAACCACAATCTTTTAAAACTTACTGCTCTCATGAAACCAATGTTTGGTTACCACTAGTTATTTTTCAACATTGGGCAATTGATATCGTTGTCAAAAAATGCTTGGGCAATAGCTTTTGAATTATTGGGCAATTGTCCAATGACTCTACTCAGGGCTACACCACTGAGCATCAAATAACAACTTATTATATTTTTGAATAGTTGTTCGGTAGAATGTAATTGCAGACAGTGACAGTTGGGAGAAAGAAGAAAAACAATCTCATAAATAATTAAATCAAGCCGTCCAATTATTTCTTGTAAAAATTCTATTTTTGGTCCAGGATAAGCATCATCTCTATAATTATATATTTTATTTTTATTTAATTAATAAAAAGAAAAAAAACACAAACGGCCATTGATGTCTCCATGGACCTAAAATAACTCTTTCTGGACATTTTAATTGATTAATTAAATGAAAAACAAGATCACTATAAAGATCAGCAAATCCACCAATTAATATAACTGGACATAATATTTTCGAATAATCTTCACAAATACTTCCATTACGCCAGTATTCATTTCTAAAAATAATATTTTATTTTTATTTTATTCGATCTGTTTTTTTTTAAATACCGATTTCGATGTTTAATCTAATAATAATCTAATGGAATTAAATTATTTAATCTTTCTTTCCAAATTTGAAATAAATTTCAATATTTATCAATTCCTCCTTGGTATTCAGGATGAGAAGGAAGTGATAACCATATTAACATTTGAGTTGACCATGATAATGCTACATTTTTATCTCGAAAAATATTTTTTACTAACCTTCTTGTGCAGTTAAACATCCACCTATATAATGAATATCATCACTATAACGATAACGATCATCTGTTGAATATGCTGATATTATTCCACATAAATTCTATAAATACTTTTTATTATTTTCTAGTTTAAACTAAAAAAATAATTTTAGGTTGAAGATAACCAATTTGTAAACCATTAAATCCATCCCATGATTTTCCATAAATAACAATCTAAATAATATTTATTTATATAAATAAATAACTTTTCCATTTGACCATATTTGATTTTGAATCCATTGAAGAATTTCTAATCCATTAGATTGTTCTTGATAGATTATCGAATATCGAATCATGAACAGATAATTAAATACAAAAACTTCTTTCATTTTATTTTTATAGTCTTATAAAAAGAAATTGATGTTAAATGCTATATCTTTTATTTAAAATAGAGCAGATACACAAAAAGATGATGAATATAAAAAACAAAAGAAAAACTATTTTGTTTTTTTTCTTCTTTTTTTTTATCGTTTATGTTTATTGTTCATCAGTTGTTGTTGTTGTTGTTGTTGTAGCTGATGAACCACTTTCTAGATTTGTTTTAATACGACCTGTAACTTGTAAATAATCGACAAGATTGTATAACAAGTCTTCCTCCATGGTTAAAATTTTCTTTTCTTTATTATATTCAGCTTGTTCAAGTTCAGTTAATGGACGTGTTACACTATTTAAACGATTATGTTCATGTTGAAGATAGATACCAATATCTTTTAATGATTCTTCCTACGTATGAAAATATAAAATATTTAGGAAAGTTAATATCAATATTTTTCTTTTACTCTTAAACGTGATTCAATGAGCATTTAAATAAATGCTCGTCGATTTTCTGTTGCTGCCATTAAACAAATTAAACAGATGTATTTGTATTAAGTAATAGATTATCTAAAATATAAATGACCTTATTTCGATAAAATAAAAAAAAGCGACGTGAACGTGCGCGTGTGTATGCACGACGAAGAAAGAGAGAAAATAACAGTATGCGTAGGGGATGAGAGAGAGAGAGAATAATAACGGCTACTTTTTTTTCTTTACTAGAAGAAACTTATCTAGGCCTTGTCTTCACTAGAAAATTTAATACCGAATTAAGAAACTTAATTGGTCGAAAATTTCATGCGACTTCAAGGTGCTTTTGAAAGACGAATTAAATTTTAATGCTCCAATCGGAAAAGAACTTGATTAACTAATTAAAACAATAAATGTGCCTTGACGAAGTCGCCTTATAAACAGTGATAGCGACATATAGTTGAGATGATGCACTACAAATTGTATCAGAAAAAAGACTGAAAGATATAAGAATGACGGAAATAGTTTTTGAGAATGATTTTTGCATAGCGTATGACCAAAAAAAAGTTTTTTTTTGGTGAAAAATTTTGAAATTGATTTATGTGTCTACATTTTAGTGGCAAGTTCTAAGTTCCAATTGGTGAATTAAAATAATAGGTGAAGACGCATGCTGATTTAAATCGCACTTAATGCGCATTAATTTTTCTAGTGAAAACAAGACCTTAAGAAACAATTAAAAATATGTTTTATTATACATTTAAATAAATGATACAAGAAAATTGTACTTTATGATAAATACAAAATTTTTTCATCGCTTATTTTATTTCTTTTATTTTAATTGAACAAAACAAAAGTTTTTTTTAAAATTTATTTTTTTTTTATTTATGGGTAGATTCATTATATTAGTCATAACATAAATAATGTTAGCTATTCGCCTCCAACTTCAACGATATCAAAACACACAACATTTCTTCAATATTATTTAAAAAATTCTGTTCACACACGTTTCATTGTGATGACAATCGTACACTCAAAAACGATAAATAACTTCTTTTAAATATTTTTTGATACTTTCCATCAGGGGCGTACCGAGGCACTCAGAGCAAGGGGGCGTAAGGAGGAGCGTAGTATGAATATGGCTTCCATTTCGAGCACTATTGACGAAAAATTTCAAAAGCAGGGGGGGCGTTCTATAGTAAATTCTCAGAAGCAGGGGGCGTTACACCCCACGTCCCCCACTCCAGTCGGTATATCCCTGCTTTCCATACTAATCATGATTTTATTACCTTTTATTTATTTTTTATTATATCAATAATAGAATCTAATGGATGTATGTCATCTTGATTTCTTCTTTCATAATTAGAAATTATTTTTACTAATTCAAATTAATCTAAAATTTTATTTCAAGAAAATCCTGAGATCTTACGTTATTCTATATCTATATAGAAAACATAAATAAAAGTATTAAATCTACATGTAAACTCATAAATTTAAAGGAAAAGACACCATTTGGAAAAAATGATATATATTAATGTATCTGAGACGATTGCAAGCCATTTGTACAATTTGACTTCAACTTTTTGTGAAAATTTCATTTTTCGCTGGAATGATTCTGTGTATTGGGATAGATAGTACTGCTTAAGACATAAACGAAACTGGCAGTTGTCTCACTACCACTATCAAGGATAGCCGAAATTTCGTAAAACTAAAAACCAACCTCCCATAAAAAAGTCGATTTTTGGTGAATAGCATGAAAATTGCGATACATACAGAGGAAAGTAATTCGAGGTCTGATATTTCAAAAGTCACTTCCCAACAAGGGGGAAAAAGCGAGACTCCCGTACTTCGAAGTACCGAGGGAGTACTGAGGGAGTACGAGGGACTACGGGAAAGTACGAGGGAGTACGGGGAAGTACCGATGGAGTACCGATGGAGTACGAGGGAGTACCGAGGTGGTACCGAGGGAGTACGAGGGAGTACAGGGAAGTATTAGGAGAGTACGGAAGAGTACATGAGAGTACGATGAAGTATGTCAAACTCTAAATCGTTTTTCATATCAGTATCATGGCTTTCCTTTAAGCATAACATTTTTTAAAACTATGGCATACACATGCAACAAGGGTTTTTTGAAAACAATATTCTATCAAACTATAGATGTTAATATTTTTCATTCTGCTAATCGTATCCATTATTAGAATCTACCGATAACGATTAGATATAAAAGTGTTGCACAATCTCGCTTTAAACAATCGAGGCTGTCGTACAACTTCTTTGCAAATGTAATCTTTCAGTGACTATATTTTATGTACAGGATTAATTGGGAAAATATGTTATGAGTCCATTTTTTTCTAANTTTATGGACTTTTCATATTCATTAGCTACTCGTCAGACACGAATATCAGTGGCATTAACAGAATCTGTAACCTACTTTCGTATCACATTTCTTTTATTGTTTTTGAAGTTTGTAGAAGATGCGTTATAAAAAATAATAAGAGACGTACAAGTAAATCTGTAATAAACTACAACTTCAAACAATTACACGGGTTTGTTATAATAGTATCGGTTCATGTAAAAGCAGGTAACAAAAATATATCAAGAATATCGTGATGAATTCTGACTGATTTAGGCGGCGTGGCTCTTCCTTCTTTTACATAAACGGCGTTTACATCAACAAAAAGTACTCAACATATGAAAAAAGATAAATTTATGCTCATTTTGTGAAAAAAATATACAAAAAATCCGAAAAACACTATACCACCTGGTAAAAACTTCGCAACAGATTGAAATTACTATACTTACCATCATTAGTTACAATTCTAATTATTTTTTTATGTTTTTTTCGAAGTTAAATATCGGATTATGTGAAAATCGAAAGCTCTGTTTATAGATAAGAACAGCAAAAGTGATAGAGCTTCTCTTAATTGAGAGTAATAAATCTCTTTTCGTCAAGCATCAACTTTTCTGAGAGGAGGAAATTTTTGAAAAAAGTAGTAGCCCAATTGATTTTGAATTGCTCATTATTACTCAGTACTCAAAATAATTTAGCTGGTAAACGGCCCATAGTTCAAAAATTCCTGGCTACGCCACTGATATATAAATAAATTTTCATATATTTTATTAAATACATAAGTTAGCGAAATGAATAATATTTACTATGCTTAAAATTTTCAAAGGTCGGGCTTCATTCTACAAATCTACAGAGAGTTGTAAGCCATTGTCTTTGATATTTAAAACAGCTAAGAGATTGGATTAATGCACTCATTCCTTTCGCTATACCCACACGCGTCTATCCCACGCTTTGTAATGATAGTGGACATGATCGCGTTCTTGTTAGAGTCCGACACTTCAGTCACGGCCATGACCGACAAAGTTACAAGTTGTCTATTATAATTTTTGAGTTTGAAACTGAAAACAATATTCATAGAAGTGTATCTTGTTCAGAATTTTGTACTTCAAATTTCAGTATGAAAGTTTAAGATATAACACTCGCCGGCAGAGAAAACTCCTGTTTACTCATCGTAACTGGAAACACCCATAACCAATTCTGGTCACAGGTAGTAATCAGCAATTTTCTCTGCCAGAGAATATTATATCTCAAAATTTCATAGCGAAGTTTGAAGAGTACAAAATTCTGAACAAGATACACTTCTACGAATATTTTTTTCAGTTTCAAACTCCAAAATTATAATAGAAAACTTAACTTTTTCGGTCATGGCCGTGACTGAAATGACTCGATCTAGTTCTGGCACTATCTCATCATTGAATGTTTTGAAAGCAGTAATAGTTGATAAATACAGGGTATCTCATAAGTAGCACTACGATAAGAATTTAGAATATCTCCATCCAGGCTCAACCAAACGAGGTGGTTATTTTTTGTTGATAGAGGTTGACTTAAAAATTTTTTCATGAGAACAAAGTTGATAAATACTATATTGAACTTTCGCCTTTGACTATAATACAAAAATTTGACCTTTTCCGGGATGATATTTTGAAATTATATTTCATTTTGATTTTCACTTTCAATGTAATTATTCGATAGAAAAAATTATTCTCTTTCGATCTATGCAAAGCCGAGCTCATTGGCTTGTTCCATCCATGAGCTTGAAGCATTTTTCTGAGGGTTCAGATAAGCTACATTCACACGCTACATACAATAGTGTATATAGCTTATCCTATGCGATTAAGAACCAATAGAATCAGTGTCCAATTTTTACCCATTCACCCAATAATTATTTGACATAAAATGGCTGTTGTATGTTAATAACATGATTTGTCCGAAACGAATTAGAAGTTTTTTTTTAAAAGAATTGTTTTATATTTATTAAGTGTAATACTAATGCTCCACTAATATAAAATATTATTTAGAATAAAACTATTAAAAGTTATAGTACTAAAATAAACAATCATACATTTTTAACGGAATCAAGGTATTATTCTAAATTGAAAATAAATTATAATATATTTAAAACATAAGCAAAGTCATTTCCTATGATCTTATAATAATAAAAGTATCGTTTATCTTAATGCGACACTAATATTTTTCCTCAGAGACTAAACATTCATTATTGAGTTATGTATCATATCAACCTCTTCGAAGTTTTTCATTTCATACAAGCTTTATGATAATTAACTAGTTAGAAAGAAGGGTAAAAATTGAACAAGTAGTATGAATTGTTTTAGAAAGGTATGATCAAGTTTCGAGTAAAAAATTTTAAGAGTTCAATAATAAGTTAGAGCCTTTCGTTATGTTTATCCTTCTCAGAATAATCAATTTTTAATCATTTTCGTTTTTTGATATTCACTCTTTTAAATCAGAATAATGTTTCAAGATAGTCTTGATCATATATAATGTGCGCATCTGGCACAAAAAGATAAAAAATAAAAAAAAAAATTGTTGAAATGATGATGATGCTGTGACTTTTGTAATAAAAGCAAAGAGATTTTCACAAGTTACTTTCTTTTATTAAGAAAATTTGTAACAAACATTATATTTATAATAAAGGAAAATATTGACAAAAATTTTCTGGACGAACAAACGCCTGATCTAAAGTCAGTTTTTTCAAGTTAGTACAATTGAGACGTTGTGCATCATTGTTAAAATTGTTTGTTATCATTACAAGTGATTTGTATTTGATGTTCAAATTGAGCAAATGAGGCATATAAGTGTTTTTATCGTTAAGAAATTGTTCTGCATAATCCAAATGTGCTAGAAACAGATCCAGAAGAAGAAGATGAGGAAAAATATTCAATGTCGACGAATGTTGTTTATTTTTTTGTGGTTGATCATTCTCTATATATAAATGTCTGAGAAGTGGAAAATCTTGAGAGACGATTTTGAATAATTCATGTTCAAAAGAATCTACACCAGTCATAAACAAATACAGGACTTTATCAAACATGCCACCTTGAAAACAGTTGTTAAGATGAAGAAAATATTCGAATTGAAATGGAAGTGAATAGACATGACAGCTACCTTCGATCTTCGTTGATACATTATCAACATATGAACCAACTTGACCGTATTTTTTTTCAATGAAACTACGTTGAATATCTTCATGCGATGGAAGATCAATTTTAGCATTCATGTTGACAACAAGTGTATTTATACTGAAAGTAAATTTGTTCAGTTGTGGCATGTAAATAAGAATTTGATCATGCAAGTGAATACCATCAATATAAGTTGAGTCAAATCTTAGTACTGGCAAAAGCAATGTCAATTCTTCCAGATTTATCATTCGACGAAGTAATGGAATAATTTCATCGTCATAACGTCTTGTGTATTCAACAGAGCTCAATGAGAAACATTTCAATTTGGGAAGTTTTTCCTATAAAGAAAATATAATTAAAAATGTCTTTTTATTTAATCTAATGTTATTCCTCAAAACACAATTATTGACAATCATATTTACCGTCTTTTGTATGATTGATGATGGACAGTATATTCTATTCACATGAATAATCAATGTCGATAAACAATCAAGACGTCCATCAAGAAGATAAAGACAATCACCAAAATTTATGACACAAATTTTCAAATTAGTCAAAGTTGAAGACATACAATGTGTTGATCTCACATAATTAAAAATACAAAATGGTAATCTTCGATAATGGTACATATGACAAAAATTCAAATTAGTTAATCGTTTACATAAAGATAAAATCAAGACAAATATATCCGATCCAATTATCCGTCCTTTTGTTGATTGTGCATCCTGAATATCGATTTTGAGATTTGTGATTTGTTCAGTAAGAACTTCACGAAGAATTGAATCATCTTCAATTTTAATATCATTATTTTTTTAAATAAAAACAAACAAAATAAAATACTATACCTGTTAAATATTTTAACAGTCTTTTTGCTTGAAAATTAATAAGTGATAACGAGTAAAGTTGTGGATAATTCACAGTATGAAGAATACGTTTCATTGAATATTGTTCAACAATCAGCTCGTTTACTTGATGATACATTCGAGGTAATATTTTTTTACATATTCTATCAAGAACATGTTTGTCTATTGAAAAAATACGATCATAATATGATTTGATTGTCATGTTGACCATATTAAGATTATGAATATAAAGGGAATCAAGTATTAAATGATTAAATCGTTCATTAGCATCCACAAGTGAATATAGAACATCAACCATGTTCAGTTTATTGAAAATGGTGAGTAACATTTCGTTGGGTAAAGTAAGTATATTGAGATGATCATTATTCGAAGTATTCATGTCTAACTAACACTGTTTATTCGTGTGAATTTATGTATGTTTGCATTTTTCACTGTCGTCTGAGAGAACAATGAAGGATAAATATTGATGTTTTAATATAAGGCTGTGATAAATGGATGATAACATTTTTCTTTCTGTCTAACATTTTTTGGTTATTCATTAATGATCTATTCGTCAGGTCATTATTCGTTTGACTTCAAACAGACTGAAAAAAATCAGACGAATTAAAACTGAATTAACGAATAAATCGTCTAGAATAGGCCAATCACGTTGCTAAATTCAACTTTAAGTTAATTCATTTTTTTCTGTTTGTTTGAGGCCTTTGTCATAATGCTCATCATGTAGCGCGCTTTTTATAAAGCATAATATCATATTTAGAATAAACTATAGTATATCAATCAGAGATTAGAAATCTAGGCTATTCTACGGATTGACGACACCGTATATGCTAAATGATCTAATTAATGGGGCACAACAAAACATGTGGGTACCGTCGTGCCGTTAATCTGCAGTAGTACCGCGAATTCAAATGTATATATATACATTTTTCAAAACAAAAATGAGAAAATTGATCTCGACTTTTTCCAAGCTCAAATTAACAGGAAAACGATATCGGAAAAAAAGCTGATTAATGCTGAAGCAGGAAAATTACAG